GCGATGACCCCGTTCTCGCCCAAACCTTCGAATCGCCCAGGATATTAACAAACATGAGATATTATGGTTATCCAGAATAGTAGGTTTTGAAGCAGTTATCGAGCAGTCTTATCACATTCCACGATTTAAGGAGCCCAGTTGAAGGCGGTTGAACGACAAAGAGTAGTGGCAGCAGTTAGAGATGGCAGTTCCACGACAAGTTAGCCACTATGAAGAAAGTGGGTAGTTATAGAGCAATCAAACAGTTTTCAAGCGGTTTGTCACGAAAAAAAATCATCAATGGAATATAAAAAGGAAGAGAAGACATAGAGAAAAGACCTCGAATCAAACACTCTCAAACAGAGAATATATAATTTCAATTTTTTAGCTTAACTTTAATTATTTTTTTTGAGTACTCATGTGTTTGCGCCTCTTGGAGGCATTCTGTCTATTTCCAATTGTAACTTTCATCAATAAAGCACCCCTTTTTGGGACTTTGTCTCAAGAAGTTTGTCCCTTACACAATCGTCTGAATCTTTTTTAATTGTTAGCGACTGCCCGCGCGAAACAAATTCCTATAATAGAGTTTGATCCATTAAAAAATCATGAATAATGCTATCAAGAAGCACTGATACTAGAACACTAATCTATAATGACATTATATAATACGATCAATGAAAAGTAAAATGAAGTGACAATTAATTGTACATTTCATTTAATGCCAAATTATTGTCACCTAAATTGGTGTTTTAACACGAGTGTTACTAAATAGCATTATTAACATTCCATAAGCTCGACTAGGCTTCTCTTGCCTCAATCCACATTGGGATGGACCAAAAAAGGCAAAAGAGAAATGAAACGAACCAAACTTTGTGCCACCAGCTATAAGAGCCAAGCCAGTAGGCCGGAAATCCATGACATCTCTTCAAGTAGCTAACTAGATTCCATCACCACCCTAACAATATATTTACTTTTACCTTTAATAATATAATCCAGGATGAAAGGGAAGTATTAAAGCATCTCAAATGTATTCTATAGATTTCCATCACTGCGTGTAAATGGCACGATGTATTAATGTCAAATGAATAGACGGTTAAGTTTTTGTATAAAAATTCAATTTCAGAAAGAGGAAAACTATAAGACACAAGGGAGATAAACTAGAAGAGCCTCTACATCTAGACATATTCGTCTTCACAACGACTACTTTTTTTTCTTGCAACTTCAAGTAGACATAGTTCTAAATATGTTTCGTTTGAGAAAAAAAAAACTTCGCAAATATTGTCTATATCTTAAATGACAACTTTATAAATTCAGCCTATGTTTGGCACCATTTTTTTTTTGTCAAAAACTCATTTTCAACCACACATTCTCTCGTAAAATAAATTTAAAAATTCTTATTTTTAACCATATATTCTCCAAGAAATCACTATTCCAAAACACGTTTGCATACATAAAAAGGGGCTCAATATACATTAGCATTAGAGACGTTCTTAGAAAGTGATATCATATGAATCGGGAGCAATTGTTAAACCTACCAATAGCCACTGTACTTTATATTTAGTGTCATCATGGACATCAAATTGATTTGATTCATCATGGACACTTTACTTTATATTTAGTGTTTCAGGATCACCCAAATTGATTTTGATTTATCTTGATAAACCAACTTTATATAACGTTTCAGTCAAACCGTCCGATTATTGCCACAACTAAAAAATACATAAACAAACACTAAAAAATTCACAGAATTACCATAACAAAAAATAAAAATAAAATAAAATATGAGAATCAGAAACAAATGTAAAAGAAACACAACATGGCAATCATTACAACAAATTAAAAAATTAAAAAATATATATGAAAGCAGAAATAATTTTTTTTCTTGATTTGGGTTTGATTTATATTATATAATTTTTTAATGTGGGTCAGTGCATTTTTTCTTGTATGTTTTTTTATTTAACTTTTTTTTTTTAGTTTGTGTGTGTGTGTTTATTTATTTATTTATTTTTTAAATAATAATCATGTGTCTTGATTGAAACGTTTTATAAAATTAGGTGATCATGGTAAATCAAAATCAATTTGGGTGATTAAGTGACACTAAATATAAAGTACAATAGTCATGATAAATCAAAATCAATTTTAGTAATCATAATGACACTAAGTATAAAGTACAATGGTTATTGGTAGATTTAACCCAAATTTCAATTGGTCATCATACTTGATGTGTTTCAAATGGGTTACTAAAGTTTAGTTTAGATTCATTTAGGTAATTGAACTTCAATTTGATTTAAAATTTATTACTTCGTCATCGTCTGTCTCCCGAATTGATGAAGACGACTTAGCCTTTGTTTGGAAGAATTTATAAATGTTTTAATTTATATATAAATAGAAATATATGGTGAATAAGTGATTGTAATTTGAATTATGGTAGTAGCATATTCTTGGATAACATTATGGATAACATTGTGTGATGTATGAAAAATTGTGCCATTAATTTGAATAAGCGTTGTTAAAATCTATGGCCCAAATTGTTGACGTGTCAAACAATGCTATTCATAATGTCAAAACTTAATGCACTTGTAGCAAAAATATAGCAATTGTGATTTCATTGGAATGTGTGGATGGAAATAAAATTTGACCATGTATATATGATTTATCAATTTTGCCCAACTGATATTTAGGTAATGTTTGAACCCCATTTTTTTTTTTTCAAAAAAATGTAGAAATTTTTTGGATTTGCGTATGATATTATTTTTGATAATACCTAGAGGGGAATGAATATGTATTTAATGTGGAATTAAAAGTATATTACGAATTAAACAGTAACAAGTCACTTTTTAATTCTTTTCTAAATGATTATTCATGCAAGTCAGCTTTAGTCCTAAGTTTTTATACCGTAGTTGTATAATTAATCAATATAGCGAAAGTAGTAATCAACACCAAAATGATCACGGAGAAACCCAATTGGGAAAAACTCCGGGCACTTTGTCAGTCAATCAACTATAAAAAACGATTCTGTACTTACAGTCTACCAGACTAGATGGCGACACGAACTATCCGATCTTCTAACTACAATTCTGACAGCAGCTCTCTTGAATTTCGTGCTCTCCTATACCAATTCCAGCTGCAATAACGAACGCTCTCCTGGAACTCCGCTATCCTACAGCAGCCCCTAACTTGGTAAAATCGCACATCTCATGTGGATCACAAAGAACAAGCCGTTCTTCACATACTAGAACTCCAGTAGAACATTCTCGATCTTTAGAACTCTGATCAAATGTATAGGAACAGCAGTTTGGTGTTTGAAATATTGAATTGATGTTTTTCTCTCCAAAACAAACTCACGAGATGAAGGTTGAAGGAAGGAATTGAATCAATCTCTCATAGATATAGCTCTCTCAATGTTGAACCTTCAAATTTTCGTATAAAAGTGTTTTGGTATTTATAGGTAGGTTAGAAAAAACGAATGGGCCAGGAAAAAACTTTAAAATGCGAAACAAAACTTTCCCGAATACAACTGTCGCTTGAGCAAGAGCTCAGCGACAGTCGAACGACAGGCTGTCGCTCAAGCGAAGGCAGGGCAACAGTCAAGCGATGGAGTTTCTGCTTTTGTAGCTCGAGCTAAACCTGGCGACAGTCCAGCGAAAATCCCAACCGTGTTCCTCTTTTTGGCATTCACGAACCCTAAACATAAAAACCATATTTTCAACATATTTGCACATTACTCCTTGAATTTTTACAATATGTTAATTTCAGTTTTTTTGTTCACAGAATCGCCTATTACAAATAATCTAAAACCTAACAATTTTATTGAAAAATGTATTATTGAAAATAAGTAGGAGAATAAATTTTTGAAATAATTGATATCAAACAAGTGTTTAATTAGGAGCCCTGCTGCGGCGGATCTTCCATAATATCTATGAGGAATGCAAATTTATCACTATGTCACATGAGTCACATCGTCAAAGTGTTAAAATAAAAAAGTACACATCTTTTAACATTATCTAAACAAATTCATAACCCTCTTTTATCTTTCATTTTTATTCCATGTTTGGTGCTCATTATTTTAAAATTCATTTTGTTAATAGGATCATTTTCTACTATATATTCACACAATGAAATATTTTACACCTAAGTCCAAGATTTTTCCCTACTTTTTAACCGCACATTCTCCTAAAAATACTATTCAAAATTCTTCTTCATCTTCTTCTTATTTATTTATTTATTTATTTTTGAAATAATGAGCACCAAACAGGGCTGAGGGTGCCCCATAGAGATAACATAGAATATCATTTATAGTATGGCTGCCAATTTTTGTTTTTATGCATGATATTTTGGTATCCGGAAAGACATTCAGATTGCTATTGATATGAAGATGATCATTAAGTTAATTGTTATCCTATCTCTGTAGCATGTACAATGAATTCATAATGCCTTAAAAAAAGAGGTAGTTACGTCCTATCACCCACTAAAAATCTAAAATATAATTTCGACACGTCTCTTTTCGTCATATAAAATCTATTAATTGTCATAATCCTAATATATGCACAACAAATTTTCATAAATAAATGATGTCAAGATTTGCTTTTTGGATATTTACGTGTTCTCATACAATATTGAATATCGCATCATCTATAAGTTTAAAGTCTCCATACATTAATCCAATGGACTTGTAGTAGACCTTTAGGATGTGCGATCTAGACTACCTTAAGACTTGATCATCAATTGTATACATATAATGTTAGGCATTCGACAATTCATATAATATTGGACATTAATACTATGTAATGGATATTTTGTAAGATGAAAATCATAAATATTGATTTTTTTTCCCCGTATTTAATAATATATACTTGATAATTCTTCAAATAATAATCTTCGAAAAATGAATAATTTCACTTGCATTATTATTGTACTGCATTTGGAAAGAATATCTGATGGAACATTGCAAGAAAACAACCACATACAGTGCATGTGTTGTCTATATGCTTGTGCAGGAATGACAATAATGTACTGGGCCATTACAGCAAAGCAAAGCAAAGCCAACAGATACCCTAATTCAATAACTTCATAAAGATGCTTAAACAAATCCAGAAAATAATTCCCCAAACTGAAAAAAACACACTCACTCTCTGTAACTGTTCATGTTGATCAATCAAGAACAGACCATTTATTGACTGTACTGATTTGCAGGTTGGTATTGCAAGTGTGGTAGGGCCACCACCATCCACCACCATGACCATGGCTGCAGTTATCTTATATATGGCAGGAGGAATGATTCCACAGGTACTGAGTGAATTTATATTAGTTTTACAGCTAGGGCTCCTGAGAGCCACCTGAAAAGGATGAAAAATAGAAATTATATTCCTCCTGCCTTATGTAAGATAACTGCGAAGTGTAGCCTTCTCTCAATTTTGTGGAATCTTTCACTGATAATGTAGAACTAAGACATTAGAATTACTAGAGTGGTGTAGAATTAGAAAAAAAACAAATGAGCATCACTACTCGTAAAAAAAATATAGATGTTGAGAATCTAAACACACACTTAGAGAGGGGAGCTTGTTCATGTCCAAGACATAACGAGGTAGTTCAATATAGTGTAAAAGCACTTAAAAAATCTTGTGAATCAAGACTCATCAACCCATTTTATTGCACATGTGTATATATGAGAAGGTCCGTATTAAGACATTCTAAGTAAATAAGTTTGTCTCGTGCCTAACAAATTACACCCTTGTTTGAGTCCCCTCTTTTTTTTAAAAAAAAAATCATTTTTTCAAAATTTATTCAATAAAAAATTTTACACGTAAATCAAAACTTTTTCTTACCTTTTAACCACACGTTATTAAAAAAAATCACTATTCAGAAATACATTTTTATCCAAAACAAGGCTCAAACCAAGGTTAAACTTTTAGATGAGTTGATCAAGACTATCTAATCAATTCTAATTGAGCAAGTAACCTTCGAAAATGCATCCTTACACGCAAATCAGTATCTAGTTCCTTGAACCAAAAGCATAGATGATAGGCAAGATTTTGAAAAATCAGAATACGTAACTAGGAATAAAATCAATATCGCTATACTCTTCATATGATATCGTAGAGCTTGTTTGAGTCCCATTTTTTGCTCAAAAAGTATTTTGGAATAGTATTTTGATAAAGAATGTACAATTAAAAAATAAGAAAAAAATCTGAATTTGTATATAATATTATTCTATTGACAAATGTGTAGTTGGAAATAAGAAAGAGAAAAATGAATTTTGGAAAAAAAGGGGACCAAACAAGGGCCTAGCATATGATTAATCCAATAATTAGGAGATATATGCAAATGGCAATCAATTGCATTATATATATATATTCCTCACAAAACCCTGAAGTACAAGCATTAAAATGTGACAAGCTAGATAAAACTCGAAATTCAAGCAATTTAACTTATAAAACAAGGATATTTGCAGCTCGCCAATAATTCAAATATATATGGATACCCCATTCAAGTAATCAGTGAAAATTAAAAAGGCGGCATAAATCATACACTTGGTGAATCCAATTCATAAGTGGTTACTAGTTGTAATGTGTTGGTCATGGCCCCCTGAACCATGGCCTGTCGCCTGAGTCTCGGAACCTCCAGGCCTAAATCCATTGAGCGTCGCTAGCATGCTTAAATGCCCATCCACCACCGGCCCTCCGCTGCCGCTGCCACCACCATTTCCCATACCCAATTGCTGCCCTGGTAAAAGTGCCAAAGGTGTAGGAAAATTCATAAAATGTATTCCACCACTAGGCATTGAACTTCCACTATACATAGTACTAGAGTTCCCAATAGCTGGAAATGACCATAAAGAATCACCACTCGTCACTTGGCTACTAGAATTTGTCACCATAAGAAACGTCTGCGACGGAAGCTGACCATGGAACGCCGGAATCGAGGTATTCGACTGTAACATGTGAGTTTGAACTGCCGGTTCTTGCTTTGCTTGTAACATAGAACTCACACTTATATTCCCATTAAGGCAATTCAATGGATTATTCTCAGATGATGATAATCCAACTCCAGAAAACAAAACCCTCCTCTGTGAATCTTCAATACTACTCCTCAAGCTCTGGTTAAAATAATTATTCCTCAAATGTAATGGTGCTGAAATGGTTGAGCCAGAATTTCTAGCTGATAAGTTAAGTGAACTGAAATTAGCCGGGATGGTTCCTGTACCCGTGGCGGCAAACACCGCTGGCTCCGCTTGCTGGAGCAACCACTCGATGGTTTCACCATCCGATTTGTGGCCTAATTCTCTAGTAAGCTGGAAAACCCTAGCAGCACAGGTTGCCGGCATACGGATCCGGCGACCCCGGCCGTCAACCTTGGTGTGCCTGTCCTTGGTTGAGTTTCTTTTTGGCTGAGGCTTCTTTTGTGCTTCCAAATTACCTGAATTTGAAGGAAAAGTTGAGCTGGGACTAGCTTCTGCAGGATTTCTTTTCTGTAGTAATTCAAATGGGAAATTTGGGCTTCGCATAGAATTATTACTTCCACCATCCATGATCATACAGTAATATACTCTGATGGGCTAGGTCAGTACATAAGTGGTGTATATCTTATCTGTAAATGATCCTCAATTCAGTCACTTTGTGGGACTCCGTCTCTCTCTCTATACATATAATATGTATGTGTGTGTATATAACTATATATCTATCTGTCTCTGTCTCTCTCTAAGCTGGTAGCCTGCAATTCCTATCAGATGGGAGCTGGCACATATTATTTAGGAAGAGAAAGAGAATTGATGAGGAAGAGTGAGTGAAAGCTTTAAGCAAGAAACACAATGAGTGGGAATTATAATGGTGGTGGGCTAGGGTATGAAATGTTCTTTATGGGAAAATTTTGCTTCTCTGAAGGTAAAACAGTAAATATACTGTTTGAATTATTTTTGGAAAAAGAACAAAAGAACCCTTGAGATTTTTGTACCTTAGATTTTTTAGGAGCTTTTTTGTTGACTATTTTCTTATTTCCTTTTTCACTTAAAGACCAGGCACGGTGTGTATTTTATTAATATCGAAATGGAAAATACAAATTTTGTGTGTGTGGGGAGGGGGAGGGGGAGGGGGGGGGGGGGGGGGGGTGAAGATAAAATTGATGGTTGTTTTTCCTTTTTTCTGTTTTTATAACTTATTTGGATATTATCCAATTAAGTTAATTAAGGTAAGAAGATTTTTGGTTTATCAACGCATTTAAAAAGAAAAAGCCTTGTCTATACATTCATAATTGGTTGATAACAATTAGTAACAACGATTTTAAAGTAGAAAAACCATTGCTGAGCTCCACAAACTTTCATGTAGTGTGTTTATGGATAATCAATTTAAATCAGAGTCCTTAAGAAATGAAAAACCTTCAATACAGTCATTAAAATAGTGTGGAGATTTTATTGGAATTAGAGTATAATGTTTGTTTGATGGTTTTACCTTTGAGCTTTGAACCACGTATAAGTCATCGTGTGCAATTTGGATCGCAATTGACCAGAAACCTTCAATATGTGCAATTTGGTCAATTGCGATCCAGTTTTTGGACAATTGTGATCCAAATTCGAGCGTTTAGAACTTATGACCACACCCTCAATTCCGTGAAACATTGTGGAGCTCAAACATAGTTTTCCCTTTAAAAAAATGGAACAAGAAAAGGAGAGGTAAACTATGCACATGATGGTGCGCTCGATCTTCAAACCATGTGTTTTTTTCTATCTCCATATCAAAATGACCATTTCGAGATCATGTGATATTATACACGAAAAAAAAGTACTTAGAGATGAAGGCAAAAGATCTAGTAAAGTTCAATACCAATATATATATATCGAATATACACTACTCTGTGACAATAAACTTGAGAATTAGATCATTTTTAAGAATATTTGCGAACAATCCCTAGAAGAATGGGATCAAAACTATTAAAGTTTTCAGAATTGAATTCTTAAAACCCAATGACTATATTTTAACTAGATGTACAATTTTTCAAGAGTGTCATTTCTTGTCAACACCTTAGGCATGTGGGCATCATAGCATTGGATGAATATAATGGCATGGACCCTACATGCAGAATTTAATTGGCCATCATAAAAATCATCACATTCTTTGACTTTTCCCTCGGAACATGTCATTATTAAAATAGTGTAGTGTTTATTAACATAATTTCACATGAAATTTGCGTACGACTTTTAGCGAAATTCACTGAGGTCTCTCAAACTGCCGCCTAAATTAGCGGGGGCATGATGTTGAACACACTCAACCAGACTTTTTAATTGGATTTGGTACATAAATCATTAAATCAACGATTTGAACGGACAACGATTGATGACTGAAATGTGTCAATCTCTTTTTTACTTCGACCAAATACTTTTCTTACCGATCGAACTTTCTATATAAAAAGTGATGTGAGAGCACAGAGATGATAACCTAATTAATGGCCTTGCGAAACTCACTCCATTCTATAGCAATGCTTGAAATGATTTTCTGAAGAAATTAAGGATTTAGCGCTTGAAATTCCAAGCTCGACTAGCATGAAGTTTTAGGGGTTCTAATTATGAAAGTAAATTTGACGATTAGCCGATATTTACTCAACACTGCATATATAATTTACAAAAAAAGGGGGGGGGGGGGGGGGGGTTTCATAAGTACAAATTTATTGTGGACTTCATTCAGATTCAAAATATCAAGCATCTTGTAATTTACTAGTACGAAGTTTTATCTAAATTAAATTGGTTGATTTAGAGTGCCCAATCTGAATTACATAAACTAGAATATATCCGAACTCATCGATCTCCCATTAATATATCCAAATGCATCAACAGCATAATCACTTGCTTGGGGATTGAAAGGTTGCACAATAAGGTTGAACTCGTATGTTGATAATTGTGCTTGTGTTTCCTATGCTCCAATGGAATGCATCACTTCTTAGTGTCACATGGCTATTCCGTGTTCGTTTTCTGTCCCCAACAAATCAATACACATTTTATACAATTTTGATAATGAAAATAGTAAAATTAATACACGAATTTTAACTAGGTATGCAGAAGATTAAATTAGTTAAAGCAAACACAAAATTTACAGGAACCGTCCCAACTTCACTTCTCAACCAAAATAAAGATACAAGTTACAAACACATGAAAGTTCAATCTGCCTCTCCATTCTATATTTGTTGTCTCATTTGAACTCTTACAATCTGCCTCTCCATTCTACAAAGTTCACAACACTTCCAAAAATAAATAGGCATTCCCGAATTGCACTTTACACCTCAAACTGATAGGGTGACTTTGGAAATTTTTCATCCCCACATGATCTGAAACTGCCCAAACAGTCAAACACAAAGGAAAACCACCTTTAACCATAGTCACATACCTTCCTCATATCTGAAATTACACTAAATTAATGGACTAAAAGTCAGTTGGACACAAGGTTTCAGTGTTGTTGAACACTTGCTCGTATCAACCCATCGATCAATGCCAAATCTGACGTGCGTCCCCAAATTCTAACCCGCGATGTCACCATCAAGTAAATCTAGCATCGTCATGCCTCGATTACTATCACATCACAAAACTAACCAGATGTCTTGCTTCATTTCTTCTCGAATCTACACTTTCTCTGGACATCCTGTGCACCTTCAGCCATGACATAACATCAATTGAGACATCACCCATGCCATTGCCATTTTCTCAGTACGTTCTCCTCAGTTAAGAACACTCCAAGTCTCATATTTTCACAAGTTATAGAAACACTCTGCATCCCAATAGTCACCATAGTTTGCTACTGCGTCTAGGTGCCTTCTCCATCAAATTCCTACAATGCAACAGCAAATTCTCCATCCTATGACTCTACAACAATCTACAATGGATTCACTCAAGCAACACTAATTTCACAATCTCTATTTCTCCAGTATCATTGCAACCAATTTTTCCCATTTTAGGTTGTCCGTAGCACAATGAGACCCCTTACAAATATAGCTTGTTACCCTTCTCATTTCTATCATCAATTGGCTTTCTTAATGTAGCATCACCACCCAAATGCAACTTGACCAAAGCATCAGCCACGCAATGGTCAACTATAGATCCTCCATGCCTTGCGAACGCAACTAAATTTGCACCCATATTTGCAGTCTTGACATGAAGTTAAAAGAGTTTGTCCTCTTCGAACAAGTTTTTGATGTTCAACATCAAAGAACAAAATTCATTCACATACCTTTATACCGTGTTGTTTGCCTTATATTTCGCAGCACTTCCCATGCAATCTACATTGTATTGTAGGGAAAGAACTAATCCTTCAGGTTTTCCTGCAACCATTCCTCGGTCAATTTTTGGCCTTTCTACAGTCTCATCTTATGGTAATCGAGTTCTCTACCATAGTTTTGTATCTCCAACATCTAACATGTTCACGACGTCCACCTGATCTTCCTCGAGAACATGTACAACCTGAAAATTTTCAAGTTCATTGCCACTCCAGGTACCGTCAAACACCTTGACTCTCGTACTTTGATTTTCGAGGTCACCACAGAATCCTTAATAGCAGGATTTGCCCATTTCAGCAATGCAACTTTGCCTTCCAATAGTCTAATGCGAGAAGAAATATTTCCAGTCTGGGTCATGATGTTCTCGAGCATGGACGTGAACTTTTCATTCAACTCAACTGCAAAACGCGAGATTCGACCCTGCTACACCTAGAGAGGGGTGATTAGGCGTAAATACGGAATTAATACTTAATTAACGTGCAACAAGTCACAAGTTAATTATGTCTAGGTAATTAGTCAAACAATTCAATTTATCCGATCTTGAAATACAGCAGTAATGTAAAAGCAGTAAATAAAGCAATAAACAATACCAAAATTGTTCACGGAGAAACCCAACGTGGGAAAAACTCCGGGCAATTTGCCAGTTAAAGATCCACTATAAACTGTCAATAAAACTTACAGACTACCAGCGAAGTTAACAACACAAGCTTTCTGATCTCCTGTTTGAAATATGAAGCAGCCCTCCTGGAATGTGCACACAAACACCAATTCTTTCTCTTCTTTGTAAAGCAGTCCTCCTGTAATGAGCACACGAACTCTAATTCTGACTCTTTGCACAATTTATCTCCTGTAAATCTTCCCCAAAAACTCCTTGTTCTTCAAACTCTTCCTTGATCTTTAATGCAGTACAGTTGACGACACAATTTTACAGCAGACCTAAGCGAAGAGACCAATTTATTATTTGATTTGATAGCTTTGATGTTTTTAATGAAAGAGACACATATGAGTGGAAGGATTGAACTTTGATCTTGTGTATGATGTTTCTCTCTTGATAGTTGTATGTTCAATCTCCCGTTCATAGAAAATACGACGCCTCAATATATAGGTTGGACGAAATAGGTTGTATGGGCCGAGTAAAAATCTCAAAAATAGAAAATGAGGTTTTCCAGAATAATATGTCGCTTGAGCGAAGTGGCTTCTTAGCTCGAGCGAAGGGTCTGTCGCTCGAGCGACAGTAGGGCTAAAGTCGAGCGAGGTAGTTTCTGTTTCAGTTCC